CTCAGCATCCAGCGAGCTCTGCATGGACTCCACCACTCTAATGTGGTTTCTCTTCATCTGGTCAATCTCCTCATCCTTTTCAGCAATTTTCCTGTCAATTTCAGACTTGACTTGGTTCAACTCAAGCTGGATGCGCAGGATCTTTCCCTCTTCGTGTTCAAGAGATGCCTGAATGACAGCGAGGGTGACATTAGCGGGGAATGGAAGTATGTAGTATTCTAGAAATAGGAATGAGTTCCTACTTTTTTGCCACCATAACATATCTTTATTCTATTATAGAAATTTCTACAATGTTCTATTGTTGGTTTTATATATGTCTATCTCCCCAGCTAGATAGTGCCCTTGAGGGCAAGGCCCTTAACTTCATCTTTGTTTTCTCAATGTCTAGCACAGTTCCTGACATACAATTATGTTACTTGTATACATGGTCCATTCTCCATCCCCATACTCATATGCAGAGAAATTAGGGTCGATTGCACACAAGAATTGGTGAATCAAGAGTGTACAATAATATGTCTACCTCTGCCTCCTCTAAAGCAGCCTGAAGTTCAGACTTTTCTTGTTCAATTTGCTTCTTTAATTTTTCAAGTTCATGGATACGTTTCCCTCCTTCTGCAATCTGCTCAGTGAGATCAGAAATCTCCTCTGTTGGTGAACAAACATAGAGAAAATTGTTCATTGAGGGAAAGCATTATTTAACTATTTGTTAAAGAAAAGGTGAAATGTGCTCACGTTGCAAATTCTTATTTTCCCTCTTTAAGGTTTCAAGATGGTCTAAGGATTCCTCATAAGCATTCTTAATCTTGAATAGCTCTGTGCTGAGGGAGCGGGACTCCTTCTGGGAAGCTTCAAGTTCAGCATGAGTTTCTTCATACTTCTGTTTCCATTCAGCCAGAATCTGAGGGGCAAGGAATGGTCAAGAAATTTAGTGGAGAAAGTTTAATGTAATGAAACCATTTATTCTGGCATCTCTGAGAGTTGAGATGATCTAGGTCTGAGAAATTATGATGAATGAGAACAGTGGAAACCACAAGAACATATCCCTCCCCGCTCCCCACAACCTACCCATGAAGCAGAAGCTACTGAGAATAATCCTCAGATGGTTTGAATAAGGCACAATTACGGTAGCAAGCTAGCTTGAATTATATGTTGGATGCTGAGGCAGAAGCTTCTGCAGAAATCACCTTGTCAAAGTTCCTCTGCTTCTTGTCCAGGGCTGCGCAGGCAGCATTAGACCTCTCCACATCAAGCATGAGGTCCTCCACTTCATTCTGGAGCCTCTGCTTCGTCTTCTCAAGGGAGGCACACTTGGCGTTCACGGCTTCTACGTGTTCCTCAGCGTCCTGCAGACGCTGGGCCAGTTTCTTTCTGAAAAGTGAAATAGGGACAATAGAAGTGAATGGTCATCAGCAGAACTCGGTGTTCAAAGTGGGTACAAGAGAGTGATTTCCACAGTCAGACTCTTACTACCATGCTTTTCAACTTGTTTTGGAGGTCCAGTTCTGTATTAACTCCTTCCGCTCTCTTACCAACCAAATGCTGAAAATAACCCAAATTTCAATATCTCTGTACTTCATACTAGTAGTCTGACTTTAAGGCAATCCATGATCAGCCCAATGCAACATTTTACCCTTCAAGGTAGCTGATTCATTACTCCTTTATAGAATCTTAATATCTACCTTGAATTACTGTTATTTATATCTCTTCTCCACTGAATTTTGACCTCCAGAGGGTAGAATCTATATTTTGCTAATCTTTGTGCTAGTATTCTTGTAGGCTGTCATACATTTTAAGTACTGAGATGTTATATTAATTGAATTTAAATAAAATATACTTGATTTTTGTCTAATTGTATCCCCTATTTTCTTAGTTTTTCATAAATCCTTTAATAAAAAGCTTTCCCAAATCAATGTAAATTTTGCTTTGAGAGCTCAACTCAGAATCTCTTCCATAGCATCTAACAAAGCATGGTAATTCCAACAATATGGTTGTACATTAGCCATAGATTAAATGAATAGATCTCTTCTTAAACTTTCTGTTGAATAAGTAAGTCTATTCTGTCCAGATTCTCCCTCTTATAGTTCAGTGTTGGACTTTATATTGCATTGTATATTTATGAAACAGTTTTCTTTCTTATTAAAAAATTTTACCTACTTTTTATTTTATTGTCTTTAACAATATACTTATGCCCCCACTTTTTCAATATAGCCATATTTTCACATCTCCAAGGGAGGAGCTATGCTTTAAAGCCTAATTATTTTTCTTTCACAGGCCTATCATCTTGGAGCAATATTTTTGTTAGTTGCTCAGAAAGATGAGAGGCAGAAGAGAGTATAATTAATTGTTATTCTATCTACAACTCTCCCCCTTTTTAAAAACAACCATTCAGCTCCCTCTTCCCTTATGTCCTTTCTAAAAAAAAAACTACTTTCCTTTCGTTTTTTCTTTGTTTTGAGAGCAATGGATATTTGCTCACTTACTAGAGGTAGCAGATGCACTCTGTTAAGAGAGATGCTTCATTTTAACTAAATCTAGAACATACTTGGCCTCCTCCAGCTCCTCTGTGCGCTGGATGGCGTCCGTCTCATATTTGGTCCTCCACTGGGCAACCTCGCTGTTGGCCTTGGACAGCGCCCTCTGCAGCTCGGCCTTGGCTTCCTGCTCCTCCTCATACTGTTCCCGCAGCAGGTCACAGTCGTGGCGGGAGGACTGCAGGGCGTGGGCCAGAGCACTCTTGGCCTGAAAACATAGAGATTGGCAATTTAGTCATATATGTTTAAAGTTATATTTAGTACCTACGTTCCTATAGGTCACCAGAAGAAAACAATGATAATGACCAGAACAATAAAAAGTAAGGCTTACCTTTATCTCCTCTTCAAGTTGCCTTTTTAGCTCCTCAATCTGTTGTGTGAATGCTTGTTTGCCCCTTGAGAGCTGAGAAAGCATCGAGTCCTTTTCATCCAGCTGGCGTGAAAATTCACCTATAAAGACCAAGATCCAGAAAATTCAACTGTACTGTGGACATTAAAGCTCTACATTAAAACTGGAGCAGGGCAAGGGAGCTGGGTCAAAACATGATGGAAAGCATGGATTTCAACAAACCACCAACATCCACTTCAATATGTAAATATGAGAAGTATGGAAAACCTTGAGGCAGATTACATGCTTATGAACAACACAAAGATTTTCTTGATCTTTTGATCACCATAGAAATTGTTAAGAAACATGTGAAAAGTAAATCAAACCAACAGAACATTCCAGTGCCTTTTGTGAAAGGCAATAGTTTTGTACTAGTTTATCTTCTATTGAATCAAAAAATTATTCTGTAGAAACAGGAGGCTTTGAGTAGTTCCCTTTGTAAATAGAAGTGATGTTCAAAAGGAAATTATGGAATTATTTTTATATTAAGAAATGGTCAAGTATCCTTCCACTCCCAGAAGGAGTTGATGTATGGGATAACTAATTATATCATAAACAAAATGGCATTTATTTCCAATTCTTTAAGCACCATAATTCAGAAAACACATTATATTAAATGTAGAGAAAAAAATTTCAACACCATTATTGAACTGGTTAGCTGGAAGCCTTATCTCTGACATTTAATAAGAATCACAACTTGCATATTTTATATACCACTAAATTACTAGCAGTAAACATGTATTGAGGAAGAGAAACTATAAGGAGCATTTTTATTCTTTTAGAATACAGTTTTTCTTTTTCATAAGTGTACTTATCATCTGTATAACAATAATAAAAACCCCACTTTGAGCTTTGTTCTTGAAAGAACAACATTTGAATGAATATGAAAGTGAAGTGGTTCCAAACACTTTGATCTGCATATTGCTTTAATAGTCCAGATGACTTATAAAACAATTTCCTTCATGTTACCCAGGGGATGGAGAACTGTAGTAGAAAGGTGGATAAGTTGATTGGGGGAGGAATGAATGCACAAACTCCCCAGTTTGGATAATCAAAGTGCTCTGAACCTCACTGAATGTTCCTAGGCTGGGTTGTGGTCCTGAATATTTCCCTACTTCCCTGGGGTTAGCTACTAGCAATTGGAAAGACTTCAGGAAAAAGACTGCAGTAAGATTCTTGGACAGGTCATTTCATCACTACCATAACTTATCATCTTTAAAATTGGGATAACATTCTAAGGTAATGAGGATAATAAAGTAATAACTTGTTGGAGCATCTTGAAAAGTGAAAATAAATATTATGAGGATACTGCTTTTATTTAATAATTTTCATTAGAGTCAAGTCTGCTTTAAAATGTTAAAAAAACAAAAAGCCTGAATCTCTTTATTATTTAAAAACAAAAAGAAAGAAAGCTGTTCATGCCTGTGGTCAATAATGTGCTCATATGAGTGAGCACCTCTCAGGAAGAGAATATATGATCTCAAGTAAGTCAGTGCAGAGTTGTTTGTGTTTTTTGTTGTTGTTGTTGTTTTTAACAAATTGAGCATCCGAGGTAAATTTGTCATTGAAGGTCAACACTAGTAAGTGGCCCACCTGATTCCGTCTGCAGGCGAGCTCTCTGAGCCGTCAGGTCGTTGATCAGCCGCTGCTGCTCTTCTTCCTTTGTCTTAAGTTCACTCAGTTGATCCTCTAGAGTGCGGCACATCTTTTCAAGGTTTCCCTGTGTTCAAAAAGTGGCAGAAGACATTGCAAGCAAGTATTTGGACCATAGAAATTGT